TCTCGCAATAACAACACAAATTACACAAGAAGACATAAATTTATTACTCACAAAAACAACTGCTGCCAGGTCTTCTCAAGAAGCCGTAATGACCAGCCAATGTTCGTAAATGCATTTAAGTTTAAAGAAGGATGACAGTCGTCTTCGCTAAAAACATGTTTTCTAGATTTCGCCGAGCAAAACGTAAACATCTTTTCAGCAAATCCAAACCATACTCCACGACTTCTTACGAACATGTTAGTATTGTAACTTTAGGTGAACTTTAAGACTCTTTTACCTTTGTTTCTGCTTAGTTTCCTTTCATCGTTAACGAATAAAGAAGCAAATTTTCTTTCTCACTTTTACAGAAAGAATATTTTCATTCAAACTAGACGATTGTGGCGTGTTCGTAATCAGCCAATAGAACCGTTTGTTATTGTGTCGCGCGTTACGAGAATTTTACAGTTAATCAAAAAGCAAGCATTTTTGTCAGCTATGTTATAAAAGAATTTGCTCATGCTTTTAGCTGTGCGTATATCGAGTTATGGATGCACTTGGGAAGTTTGGAGAGCACTCAAGATGCTAGAGTTGCACTCGGCTATCGCCTCGTGCAACTCGTACTCTTACGCATCTTTCGTGCTCTCCAAACTTCCCGCGTGCATCCATAACTCGATATACGCACGCTAAGCATGAAAAAATTCTTAATTTTCACTTCTGAATTTAGTGAATTATGCCAAATTACACTGGACTTCTGCACTTAATTGTTTTGAATATTTGCGCCAGTTTGAATTCTGTCCCTGATCATGAAAGCTATAAAATGTAATGTTTTTAGCATATAATTCATGATATTTGCCAATCCTTTTTGATGTCGCTGACTCATTGTCTGAATTTTCTTCATCAGCATAAGCTTACGTTTACTAAAGCTCAGTGAAGACATCACGCTCTAAAAATTGACTTCAGCATCCCGGGGGGTGTACTTGCTTATAAGAGGCTAATGGGGATGTGCCGCTGGACGGTGTCGCATTTTCAATAGAATTTCTACAATGGGGTCGCACATTTTCGGATTGTTTGGGATAACACAGTTCTTCATATTTACGGTTAGCAAACATACCAGAATGTTTGTACTGCAGATGAAAAGTAAAGTGTTCTTCATTCAGTCTAAAAAATGGGTCAATTCAACCCTTCAAGTTGTGACCATTTTGGGTCGCTATGCCACCTAAAATTTTGGAGCCAACAACTTGATTTGTAAAAAAGGTTCCCTGAACCAAAAGAGTTGGTTGCCAAATGGCGACCGAGCAAAAACTTAAACTTGGAGGGTTGCAAAAATTACATATTTGTCCAAAAGTGACTAAGATAGGGTCTATAATAATTATTGACCACAGAATAGACTGCAATGGGGTAGAGGCTCTGAGAGGCCAGCGGCACACACCCAGCAAAAATTAACCCAAGTACCCCCCTCCCCCCGGTTGAGTACATAGCTGCACTCAGTGATAGCTGATTGGTGATAGAGCTAATGTTCAGTTTGGTAAACTTGGCAGTCTTAAGCTATTTGTATGAAACATTTAAGAACTTATTGGTCACCAGAAATTGCAAAATTTACCACTGGTAGAAGTCTTCCCTGCGAAATAACGTCTGAGAAACGAGAGCAGAAATTCCTGCCTGACTGCCCAGATCTCAATAGTGCTCCTGAATCAAAATTTTCAACCAATCAGAAGCACTTCCCATGTCTGGAATTCCTACACTCGTCTCTCAGACGTCATTTCGCGGGGAAACCAATAGTTGCGTCGCGAAATGTCGGCTACCGTAAAATTCCGAACATAAGCCCCGGGGCTTATATTTTTCAAAGGCCCTTTTTGAGGGGCTTATTTTTGTAGGGGCTTATCTACGGAGGGATATTTGCGTTTCAAAATCGATTGGGCTAGCCTTATAGTTGGAAGTAAATGTACTGTCTTTGCTTTGTTTTACTTTGTATTTGAGGACAATTTTCCAAGTACAAGCCCCCGGGGGGCTTATATTTGGAGGGGCGATTCAACGGACGGTTTTTTGCGTTACCGGTTTGGGGTGCTTATATTTGGAGGAACTTTTACATGGAGGGGCTTATTTTCGGAATTTTACGGTATTTTCTCAGGCTAGAGATGAGATTCTGTATCACTTTTCATTTGAAAACTGTGTTCACGTTTTCGACTTAATGAATTAAGAAACTCTTCAAGCTTACTGTTAGAGACCGTATAACTACATTAAGTGCTGGTGGTGGGAAGTTCAATGGTTTGTATGAAATTTTTTGAAAGCTAAATAACTTTTCTTGACTTAACACTGTTGAAAGTCACAAGTGTGACGTTTGTGACTCAACCTCGTCCCCAGGGCTTTTCCCTTTTGAGGGAAAAGCCCTGGGGACGAGGTTGGTTTGTGACTTTCTCTTTGAAAAGATTAACTTATAAATTCTACGGTATATCACACTAAATGCGGAGTGTATTGCCATAGAAGTCTTTCTTTAATACTGTCCATCAATATGTGGGTATTGAATTATTTAAATTAGCTGAAAAACGAACTGTTCTGCCATCCATCTGACTACAAAATTATTTACAGTACCTGAAGTTTGTCTTTTTCCTTCCCGTCGGTTGTGTCGACGTCGGAGCTGTTTATGTATTCTGTAAACACGCTGTTGTTCCAGTCATTAACAAACCTCACACCATTAGTAGCTTTCACTCCCGACTGAGTTTTGAAAACGATTTTTTTATCCCCTTGCGCGCCTTTGGCGGCCTGGTGAAGAATGGGCGTTGGCCTGGTGATGACCCGCGGTGCGTCGGAGCCCGGTTTCTCCGCGGGACGAGTGGTCACCGAATAAACGCGCCCTCGTTTGGATACTTTATAGGTGCGCGGATTGAGCTCTGGTTTGTTCCCAGCACGAGGCGAGGGCTGTGATCGGCCATATTGTGAATAAACGTGCTGAAGATATTCTGTGATCATTTTTTGACGTTGTTGGTCCTCCAGTTCTTTTAGAAATTTCTTTTTTTCTCGCTCGTGGTTTTCCGTTTGTTCCTTTTCCTTTTGTCTCTTCAGGGATTCTTCTTGCTTTGGGTTTAGTCGGGTTTCGGGCGTCGGGTGATTGAAACCGGCCTCGGGTGATGGCCGAGTCGGTCGAGGCAAAACATCAATTGAATGTTCCTGGATTTCGTTTCCCTTCTCGCTTTCGTTCTTTATTTTGCTTTCTTCGTTGTAACCTCTTTCAGCCGACAGATTTGGTCCTACAAGACGATCTTGGCTTGGCGCAGCTTGTTTTTCGAAAATTATTTCTTGTTTCACACCGGCAAGGATAATTTCTCTCTGATCTCCGTGAAGCTTTACTCCTTTGAGGTAACCAGGCTTAGGATTGTTATACTGTTGTTTATTGGATTTCTTTGCAACAGCGACGGACGCATGCGTGCTGTTGCTTGCGTTATCAAGGCGTGACACCTGGTCATCGGAAGACTTGTTTGAGTCAGAGTTATTGGTAGAAATTTCTGCGGCGTTCAGTTTTCTGCCATATTTGAGTTGAAACTTAGACTCGTGTTGGAGAATTTCTTGCGCTTGCATTATTGACAGGCGACGGTGTTGTGGTTTGCTGATCTTGAGGTAAGAGTTGTATGCTGCAGAGAAACTGCGAATGAAAATCACAAATTTACCTTGTGTTACTATATTACTTTCTTCATTGACCTGGCTCAGTTATAAGACCCTTTTCAAGCCCCCAAGCATAGCTAATATGGTAAATAGCAAACAATTCTGTTTGATACCTTCTCAGTTTGTGCCTCAAACGTTCGTTCTAATCCCGCAGAGGGACGCTTTGCTTCCGTCACAGCTTTCCCGCGTTCAGCAACCGTTAAGTGTTTCCCCGCCCTTAAGGTGCGGTAAAACAGGCAACAAAAATGGCTGCAAACAAGTTGAAAACGGTGTTGCGTGTTTTACCACCCACGTTCAAACCCAAGACAAATCAGGGCGCTTCAATTTGCGTTAACACTTGTACTGTCGTCTGCTTGGATGAAATTACGCGAGAGTCTTACCTTACACGGGGTTTACGTCACTTGCCGCAAAACATGTTTGCCTTGGTTCGGTAAAACGCGCAACATGTGCAGGTTTTGTTGTAAAAGACAACTCACTCTCTGCTTTCTGCAACACCTTTTCGCAAACTGAAACAGTCTGGTTTGTTGCCAGACAGGTTTAAACGTTGGTGTTAAAACGTGCAACATTCCTTTTCGACTCGTCTTGCAGCAATGTTACAAAACAAGCTGCACGTTTTTGTTTCCTGTTTTACCCCAACTTTAACGGCAGCATGGAGTTCTAATTGTTCTTTGTATGGTGCAGGTTACGCCATTGTTTTGGCCATTTTAAAAATGACCAGATATGGCCGTTTCAACACCAGAGAACAAATCCTGTTGTTTTCATGAATTTGATCCCCTTTTCTTGATACGCGTTGAGTTATTTCTTTGTTTTTTTATTTGGGTTTGACCCGTTGTGAAAGAGTTTACCTGTTAATCTGTCCTTCGTTTTCACCTTCTTTACACCCCAGTTTTGTACCACAGCCCAGCTGCCCTGCAATACGAGCCTTCGGCGGCTGAGGGACGTGTTTGTGATAATCGGTAAGATCAACAAACTGGCTTGCTCTTAGCGGCGACACAGCCCGATTAATTGTCTGCGAGGCCAGTGAAGATGGAGGCATTCCTTTGTGCGACCCAATTACCCTTTTCGAGGTCACAGACTTGGGGCTTGTTTGAAGTATCTGAGCAGTCTGTTTCCCCTCGGATTTACTCGTCTCCGGGCTTGGTTTTAACCCAGGTGTATCTTTTAAATGACAGTTCTTTGGGCCCATGCGGCCTGAGGAGCTCCCTAAGTTTTCCTGGCTCATGACTTCAGTTTTCTCCCCGAACTCGAGTTGCGCATCGGGTTTCTCGGGTTGAACGTCGGTAGAATTTTTTTCTGGTGAATTTTCGCCCGAGGAACTTGCGCTACTTTTCAAATCTTCACAATGGCTACATCCTTCCTCGCCTGCTTCAGTGATCAGTGCGCTCAATTTAGATTCCCACTGCGAAGCCAAACACTCGGGCTCCTGTCTCCTTCGAGGGGACATTACAACACGCTTTCCGTGTAACTTGCTGTCAAACTTCGGGGTAAACCGAGGGATACATGAGTTACACCTTGCCCTATTTGCTCTTTTCCAGGCTCGAGGTGGCCCACTCGTTGGTTTCAAAGGGCTTTCTATGTATGTTCGGACAGGTGTAGCGCTGTTTGGGCGTGTCTTGGCGTGGGTGTGGCTGTTAGATAGTCCGAGCTCCTCAAAAGAGCAGATCTTTAAACCCTTGATCCGTAAACCCTGAGAAAATAAACAAATCACACGACACTATGAGTTAAATGGCTTTGAAAATAGTGTCTCTTATCTATGCACATTTGTTGCTCAAGCAAATAACTTAAGGTGTCCTAAACTTTGTGCCATCTCATTCTAATGCTTGCTACGGAGCGTTTGAAATCAGTAGTATACTACATGCCTCATACCTTTCAAATGAAGTAGAAGGCAGCGTGGCCGAGCAGTAAGAGCGCTACTTGCATTTTGGAGGCTCCGAGTTCACGTCCCGCCCTGACCGTTAACTGGATTTGTTCACGGAAGTGCCGAGTTCAGATCCTCGACCACGTTTGTAAATAGCCAGCTGGCTTGCCTCCTGCCAGTTGGGATTCTTAACCCCGTTATGTTTGATTTGAATATTTGTTTCAGTCATTTGCTCGGCCGGCCTGCTAGCATAAGTGCTATGAATACTGCCGAGGGTAAAAATAACGCAATTATTATTATTATTATTATTATTATTATTATTATTATTATTATTATTATTATTATTATTATTATTATTATTATTTAAACGAACCGTTAGATTTATAACAGAATAATGGTGAGCAAAAATACCGTTTCCCAGGTTGCGACTATTAGCTTTTAATTCTTGTGATAATTAGGCCTCTCTCATAGGGGGAAAACCTACCCCGGGTAGAATAGTCACCCTTAAGGCCGAGTCAACTTTAGCGAGAGTTAATTGAGGAAAACGTTGACCCTTAGCCCGTTGCACGAGCCAAAAGCCCTAGCGCATGCTCTGATTGTGTAAACCAGCGCTCGCGCATGCTCTGCTTGTCTCGCCTTGACCCACTTAAACCGGCTGGGCGAGTCAAAGTGTTTAAAGGGAGAAAAATTGGCCCGTCTATTCGGGTCACCCTTCTAGCCAAGCCAACGTTTTGTTTCTGATGACAACGGTTCGCCACAGTTTTTAAGGATATGTATCAAAAGATGGCTCGCCCCAGGGTGGCTCGATCTGGTTGGCGGATGATCTTTCTACCCTGGACAACGTTTCTCCATATAAACGGGGCCTCAAAGTAGGACAGGATCTGTACAGCCGGGTCGGCGGCACAATTATTTCTTTATTTTAAGAAAGTAATGAGGCTAAGATTTACTAGACACCTTTAGATTCTAAGGCGAGAAAGACTACGAGTACGACATTTGACTTAAAGTTTTTTCGCGTATTTTCAAATAACAGACACCCCAGAAAGCTTCATTGCACTTCTTTTTCACCAAAAAAATTAGCACAGTTATCTTTACTGAATGAAGAAGGTTAAGCCATCTCCCGGCCGCAAAATGATAAAACCTCTATTAAACACTTTATAACTTGTTTCCTTTACCAAGACATTCTCGCTAAAACTCCTAGTAGAATGACGACGGCAATCATGTTTTCCCGCCAGAATGACGCTGGTTCAAGCTTAAGCACTATTTAGTATTGAGAAAATCTCGTACTCGTAATAGTACTCGTCTCAGAATCTTAATGGTCTCTACTGAATATTAAACGATGGATCCACTAACCTCAAGCGGTCTTTCGACGAGATTTTCCCTAAAAGAGGAAAACGAAAAAATCAAAATTATTACATATACAACGTTTTTAAACACCAGAGGTGAGCCCTCTCGATGAGTTTTGTTCCTCTTAGCTGCTCTTAGGGCAACCTTCGCCTGTAAAATATGTTTAAATAAAGAAAGACAGAAACAGAAACACATCTCAGGACGACTGCTAGTACATTTAACGTGACATTTATTTTTATCCAACTTACTGTGGCTTGGAAATTATTGGTTTCTGCGTGGTAGTTTGTTCCCAGTCTTTCTCTGCCTCAGGTTGCGAGTCTTGGCCTTCAGACCTGCTCGAGCTCTCAGAGTCCTGTAATCTATTTTGGTCACCAGTCTTCTGGTTAGCAGTCTCAATTGCAGTAGACTTGATAGAGACCTTGATCACAGAATTCGC